ATTATTCTGGCATAGCGTGAGCCCAGATGGGAGGAAGCTGTCATTAATCCCCTCAGCCTCTCTCCAGCCTCTAAGGGGCTTTCCTTTTTACTTTTTTTATACTAGCTTTGAGACCAGAGTTATCCTCTAACAATAGTCCCTGAATGAAGCTCCCCATCATCTATACAGCTATACACACCTTGATTAATTGGGAGACCAAGGATGATCATATATCAGCCTGCGTTTGTGTCACTGTGACGAAATATCTGAAAGAAACAATGTAAAGAGAGAAATGCTTTGTTTTATCTCACAGTTTGGGAGTTTTCAGGCAATGATCCATTGCCCTATTGCTTTGGGCCTGTGGTGAGACAGCACATGGTGGCAGGAGCACAGGGGGGAAGAGGCTRTTCACTTGGTGGTGGCCAGGAAGGGGCCAGGGTCCCAGTATCCCTTCCAAGGGCCTGCCCCAGTGATCTCATCTCCTACTGTGCCTCGCCTCCTAACAGTTCTACCACATTCCAGTAGCACCACAAGCTGTGAACCAAGCTTTTAACACGTGAGCCTTTGGGGGACACTTATCCAAACYACTAACACTTTCAAGTCCCACCTCATGATGAGACAGAACAAGGCAGGGCTTTACTCAGCCTGAGTCCCCTGGGCAGCAGGAGGGACCCTGTGCTCTACTGCCTCCTTCCCTACATCCAGAAAAAAATGCTGCATCTCTAGACCACTTCATTTTGTTCCAGTTGGTTTTATTTATGAATTATTTATGTATTTATGCAGTGCTGGGGATCAAACCCAGGGCCTCACATATGCTAGGTGAGTCTTCTGCCATGAGCTCCATCCTCAGTGCCCCCTCTCTTACACTTTTTATGAGATCTGTGAGCACAGTGCAGAGTTCCTGATGCTAATCCTCACCCTCTCCTCAGTAGCATCTACCCTTTAGTTTCCATGCCTTTTGTGCTTCCAACCGTGCACGCACGTGCGCACTGTGTGTGTGTGTGTGTGTGTGTGTGTGTGTGTGTGGTCTTCTCTTTATACCTAAGAGAAATCCCCACTGGGTGCATGTCGGCCTGTGCCCTTTCCCTTTAAGGGTTTCATCCTCTAGGGCAGATGCCACAGAGAGAAAACTGCTGAAATGCCACTGCTCTGTAATGACAATAAGTTTTTTCTAGTCTTCAAAGCACTTGAAAAGGTGGTGGCAAGTCTGTGCAAGTTCTTCTGTTCTTCACCAAAGCCTTTTACAAAACACTATCTTGGGAAAGAAGTTTTTAACTGCACCCACTCCCACTCTGTGCTTGGCATAAACAGACCCACCAGCCGAACACCAGGGACTGCAGCTCGGGCACTCCAGTCCAAGGCTCATCTTTATTTTGTAAAACAATGTAAAGGAAGTAACAGGTCATGATATACCTTTCTATTCAAATATTATCAATATATCCAAAGAAACTAATATTTTGAGGGATGTTTTATGTACCAAGCCTTCTTCTAAGCAGTTTCATACATTATTTATTTGATGTTCAAGACAACCCTTTTAGGTGAGTGGTATCCCCATTTTACAGATAAGGAAACTAAGGTTGAAGAAGGTATCATTTTTATTTTTTGGTACTGGGGATTGAACCTAGGGACACTTAAACAATGAACCATATCTCCAGCCCTTTTTAAAATTTTATTTGGAGACAGGATCTCACTAAGTGGCTTAGGACCTCACTAAGTTGCTGAGGTTAGCTTTGAACTTGTGATCCTCCTGCCTCAGCCTCCCAAGCCGCTGGGATTACAGGCATGCACCACTGTCCTCAGCCCTGAAGAAGGTTAGTATCTTGACCAAGATAACATAAAACAAAATAGTGCACTCAGTAATTCCAGCCCAGCCCCATCTGCACTGCTGCCCACTGGTCTTCACAGGGCATTCAGGCTCTGAACAGTCCAGCCTCGAACATCTCCAATTTTCACATCTTTTATTTCATAACCTATAAATCAAAGTGGTATCTCCATTCTAATTTCATCATTTCAAAAGGGGAACACTGTAGAAAACTAACCAGTAGTAGCTGCTAAAGTTGAACATACATGCACCTTACAACCCAGCTATTCTATTCCTAGGTAAATGCCGGGTATAGAAATATGTACATATGTTCATCAAAAGACAGGTACAGGGCTGGGGTTGTGGCTCAGGGATAGAACTTTCACCTAGCATGGGTGAGGCACTGGGTTCGATCCTCAGCACCACATAAAAATAAAATAAAGGTACTGTGTCCACCTACAACTATGAAATAAATGTTTTTAAAAAAAAAGACATTTACAATACGTACAGCAGCACTATTCATACCAGCCAAAATCAAAAGTGAGCATAATCCAAACATCCATCTACCATAGAAGAGATTTGTAAATGAGTCATCCCCACCAAAACTCATGTTGAGGGCTGGGGCTGTAGGTCAGTGGTATAGTACTTGCCCAGCACATGTAAGGCCCTGGGTTTGATTCCCAGCACTACACAAAATAAATAGATTTTTAAAAATCACATTGAGTCGTAATTCTTCAGTGTAACAGTTTGGAGCCTAGTGGGAGGTTTGGGTCTTGGGGGCAGAGCCCTCATGAATATATTAATGCCATCTGGTGAGAGTGAGTTTGTGGGACTGGTTAGTTACCACAAGAGTGGGTAAGGTAGCCCCTCATGTTTGGTCTCTTCCACATGTGCACACTTGTCCTTCTGCTTTCCACCACGAGTTGAAGCCACAAGAAGACCTCATCAGAAACCAAACAGATGCTAGGACCATGCTCTTGAACTTCCCAGCCTCCGGAACTATAAACTAAAATAAATCTCTTTTCTTTGTAAACTACCCAATCTCAGGTTCTCTGTTACAGCAAAAGAAGAGAGAAAAAGAAAACAAGGAATATATAAATAACAATGAGGATGAGCAAACTCCATCTACACACTACATGAATGGATCTCACAAACTTAATGCTGAATGAAAGAATTGGGCACAAAAAAAGGACATATTTAAGTAAGGCATGGTGGAGGGCACTGTAGCCCCAGGTACTCAGGAGGCTGAATCAGGAGGATCACTTGAGCCTAGAGTTCAAGACCAGCCTGGGCAACATAGGGAGACCCTGTCTCAAAAAATAAACAAACAAATAAACAAAAAGCACATAYTCTATGCTTCTATTTATATGAAACTCAAAACTTATCAATCATATTAGAAATCAGGATAGAAGTTATCTGGGTAGGGTTGGCAAAGAGTAGGAATGAGTAGAAGGGGCTGATGACATGGGACAAGACTGGCAGTGGTGTAGACTGTAGTAGAGTCATATTCTTCACTGTCTTCACACTGGAGGGGGAAAAAACTATTTTAAAAACATTCAGTTTCAACAAAGTGTGTTCTTGATGAAGCAAAAAAAAATTGACTTGACTTTGAGTACACGTCTGATATTTTAATTTARTATGTAATATGTGATGAAATGGGAGGTAGGAAACTCACATGAGGCACTCTGTTACCTCCTGAAGCTTTTCCGAAAGGAAAAAGCACTTCTGTGATCTGAATTGCAAGCTGACCCAGTAACTCCCTKGTTGGGATGCTATTTTTAGTCAGCAGAACAACTGACAGACAAATTATAGTTATTCAGTCTTGGATATTTGGCACACATTTTCTCAAAAATGAACAAAGTTGGCCGATCCCTGCAAGGAAAACAACCCACAGCCTTTGTTAGCGAGGATAAAACTCAAACTTTTCAGCAAACATTATTTTGGAAAACATACCAAACACAATGAGCTGGGCAGCTTTCTGCTACTTTAAGATTTTTCTGGCAGAGCAGTGGTAGTATTGAGCATTGAGTTTGGCTGGGGTTTTGTGTTTGTTTTTGTTTTGWACAGTGAAATGGGTCAAAATTTGGAGGATCTGCAGACCTCAAAGATCAGAGGTCTAGAACAGGCAAACCCGCAGAGGCACGAAGAGGAGTGGCTGCTAGGGGCCAAGGCAGGTGGCAGAGTAGAAATGGGAGTGACTGACATGGTTATGGGGTTGAAATGTTCTAAAATTAAATTGTGGTTATACATCTCTGAAAAGGTACGAAAACCACTGCACTCAACTTTAAATGGGTGATTTGTAGGTGTGTGAAACATATCTCCAAAAAAAGCTTTAGAATAAAAATACAAACACTGTCATGACATCAGAATATCTGGAGTTCAGTGTAAATGACAACAACAAATAAAGTTTGCCATCCCACAGGGTATGGTTTGTTGACCCTTGTTTTACTTTATCAGTGTACCACTGTGCTTGCGTTTCTTGTTCTAGAATATCTTTGGTGCCCTGTATTTCAAAGTCTACCTTTAATCTACTATTTTTTTCGTTCTCCCAAATGCCTTCCTTTTTTTTTTTTTTTTTTTTGTACCAGGGATTGAACCCTGGGGTGCTAAACCACTGAGCCACATTCTCAACTCTTTTTACTTTTTTTACTTTGAGACAGGGTCTCACCAAGTTGCTCAGGGCCTTGCTAAGTTGCTAAGGCTGGCTTTGAACTTACAATCCTCCTGCCTCAGCCTCCAAGTCATTGGGGTTACAGGCATGTGYCATCACGACTGGCCCAAATGCCTCCATTTTTTTGTGCAYCAAAGGTGTTTCTTTGGGCTGGGGTTGTGGCTCAGTAGTAGAGCACTTGCCTTGCTTCACCAATCCTCAGCACCACATACATATATAAGTAAATAGATAAATAAATAAATAAAAATAAAGATATTGTGTCCATCTACAACTAGAAAAAACTTTTTAAAGTGTTTCTTTAAAATTTACAATGTCTCTGTGAATAAAATGACTTTAATTCCAATTAATACCTTACAACCAACATAACAYGCGCACATACACACACACMCCCAATAATAACAATATCAGCTGAGGTTACAGTTATCTATAGGCCTGATTGGGGCTGAAGGAYGTGCTTCCAAACTTGCTGGTGGCTTTCATAAGTTTGTTTGTCTCTTAAATACAGTTCGGAATCCTCTTCTGGACATGAGACCTCCGTTCCTCACTTACCGGATTTCTCCATGGACAGACTAAGATTCCTTGCACCATGCCAGCCAACTTCCTCCAGGACAATGAATCTGAGAGTGTGCAAAGAAGAAACCTCAGTACCTTTTATGACCTAGTATTTAAAATGTACAATGGTATTTTCACTTTTTTTTATTTGTTATGAACTATAGCCAAGTCCTGCCCAGAATCAAAGGAAGAYGAATTGATCTCCATCTCTTGAATTTGATATGCTTTTCTTCAGAAATGGAGACTAATTTTTAAAACCACCATGGCCTCGTTGATAGTATTAAAAAAAAACACTCTCATCTCTTCTAAGGAAAGATAAATTCCCAGTGATGTCAGCTATACCAAGGCCATGGTCCAATGGGGAAAAAAAATGGGATGAAGCTATCTAGATTGAGGTACCACAAAATCTTGAACCCTCTRAGCCTATAGAAGTAGCCCAGTCCTCCCCATTAAAAGCTGAGCATCCCTCCTCCATGCCTGGACATGACGTAAAGGCTGCTCCCCAATAAGACAACATCTACTCACCCACTTCCACCTCAGTGGGGATGCAGATCCTCAAGGTCTGCTTGCCTTTCTTGGCCACAAGATTTTAATTCTAAAACTATGATTGAAAGTTAAAATTAGGATTAAATCATAACATAGCCTAGCCACAATACATTTAACCTGATAAGGGAATAAAGAGATTATACCCATAAAGGAGCCCTGCTAGTATCTTGACCTTGTACTTCCCAGCCCCTAGAAACTGTGAGAAATAAATCCTCACTGTTTATGCCACCAGGCCACGGAATTCTGTTATAGTAGCCCATACTGACCGAAACAAGAGAGACCATGTCAAATCCAGCTTTTGGATGACTCCTAAATTTATACTTTTACACATTTCTTTTCAAAACAACGAATTTCATTTATTTATTTATCCAATGGATATTTATTTAAAACTTTCTTTGTGACAGGTTCCATCCTGAATGATGGAGCTACCTACTAGGTGAACAAACTGACAATTCCTTCCTCTGAGAGCTTAAAAGTTAACACATTAAAAGAGAAAGCCAATAAGCAACAGTTGGTCTCAAGAATAAAAAAAAAAAAAAAAAAAAAAAAATCTAGGAACAGCTAGAGATACACAGTGGTGGCAGAAGGGCGGCCCCAGGCCTTTTGGGGCCAAGGGACTAAGCCTAACACTGAAAGCCAGGAACTCAGTTCCTATGGGATAAAGGAATCTTGCTGCCTGTAAGACCATAGTCCCCAAGCTAAACTTGAGGCTTGAGGCCCTTCTCCTCAAAAAGAAGCTGAAAAAGCTGCCAGCTGAGGCTAGGGACCTTGACTTCACAAGTAGCCATGGGCCCGGAGAGGTGAGTGAAGAATAGAGAATCCAAGTCAAGTTGGGTCCAAGGTTCCCCAGAGTAAGAACAGCAAACTGCCTTAGGAATATCTGCTCTGAGCCTGAGGGGGTGGAAAAAAAGATGATGGCAATTATAAAACCATAAAACCACTAGATAGTAGGGAAAGAGAAAAAAAACTTGTCCATAAAACTGTGTGTCTATTCTTGACAACAACCAAAATTTAAACCACTGAAAGTAAGCATAATCAGAACCTCTAACATCCACCTAAAATTCTTTGCCCACAGATGAGAAGCTGCAGTACTATTTTGTAAGGGAAATTTGTGCTCCATAATCATCTATTGAGACTTTCTATTTTTGTCCCTAAAGTGTTCAACAACTGCTACAGTGAAGAAACAAAACTCAGAATCCTGACAAGCAACAATTAAAGTCTGATGGTCACTACCACTCCTCAGTCTACTCAGCTGGGCATCAGCCACCTTGTAGCTAGGGAGGATTGTGGGGCCGCTGGAAGTGAAGATGGGTCTCCCCTTTAAGAAGAGCCACCATGGAGCTGGAGTTGTAGCTCAGAGTCAGAATGCTTGCCTAGCAAAGTGAGGCACTGGGTTTGATTCTCAGCACTGAATATAAATAAATAAAATTAAGGTTCCTTGACACTATATATATATATATATACATTCATATATATAAACAAGAGCCACCATAACAATAGGGAGTGGGACAAAACTCACCACAAAATTGTAGGTTTAACAAATCTGACTTAAAAATAAAAATGAAATGGTGTCTTTTGTTTTGTTTTTGTTTTTGCTTTGGTACCAAGGATTGAACCCAGGGTGCTTAACCACTGAGCCACACCCCCAGCCCTTTTTATTTCTCAGTTTGAGACAGAGTCTCAATAAGTTGCTTAGGGCCTCCCAATGTTGCTCAGGGCCTTGCTAAATTGCTGAGGTTGGCTTTAAACTTGTGATCCTACTGCCTCAGCCTATGSAGTCACTGGAATTACAGGTATGTGCCACCCAGCCCATCTGAAAAGTGTTTTGAGTCAAATAACTTGTTCAAAAACTTGAGCTCAAATAAAAGAATTTTCTAACAACATCTTTTAAATCAAAATATGAACAGAACACACCAGATCACTCTGGGTAACTTTTGCCTCCCTTATTGTCAATTAGTATCCAAGATGGAGCCGTTTTATTCTTTAAAAAAAAAAAAGACAAGTGTAGTAAATGTCTAGACAGTTTGATAATAAACCATCCTGGGAACAGCACCGAATACTCTTAGTCACAGACTCTGACGTCAGCCTATTGAGATTCTGATTTTGACTCTGACAAGTAAAAGTGCAAACTCTTTGGAAGGTAACTTTGCTTCTCTGTGCCTCGGTTTGCCTATGTACTCACTATATTGGCACTCAGATATTACCATTTAGGGGGGTCTACACCAAAGAAACTGAGCGTAGAACAATATTTTGATAAGAAGTTATTTTGTTTTATATGAAGTAAAAATACAAAWACATACTTTTATTGTGACAATCTAATGGAGTTGCCGTAAGAATGAGAATTCTGTCATAGATGACAGATGGGACTTGGGAATTTATTTTGTAAATAAATTATCTTCCACAAATTCAGAAAGAAAYTATTGTTCTAAACCGAAAACTCCTGTCCTAGTAGGAAGTAAACCACCTACATCTGTTTAGCAATGGTGCACCCAGAAACCCTCATCTTTATTCAACTCCTGGGAAGTTGTCCCACTCTGGGTGGGACTCAGACGCTCAGTCCTAAATAAGAGGAGGACCCAGGAAGGATCACCCCACTCTGCAATAGCAACCTCCGCGCTTCTCTTCCTGCAAAACAGGGGATGCAGATAATCCCGGGCACCAGCTACTATTCAAGCCTCACTACTATTCATGCCAGCAGACCGAAGTTTGGAATCCGGCAACCTAGTTTCTCAGGCGGCTGCCTGGGACGGGAGGCGGGGCTTGGGCGTGGCCACGCCCCAGGCGGGACAAGGTACCCGGCCACGCCCCCCAAAGCTCAAGACAGGCTCCTCCTCCGCCGCACTCACTGCGTCTGCGCCCAAAGGCGCGAGGCAAGCTGGGAAGTGGTGCCGCTCTGTTGCTTGCTGTTTCTGCGGTGACCTGTTCAGTTGTTTGGACGTTCGCAGCGGCCCCTGGATGCCGCTTTGGCACCCTTGTCTGTTCGGGCCCACTGAGCCCCCTAGTCTCTCCGGTTGGACTCTCCTGCACTTTGTCAGATCCTAGCAATCAGCCGCGGATCGCCGCGTCTCCCCTTGTCTCTCCACCTCCACCGACGCCTCCTCTCTACCGAGTACCGGACCCTACCCTGATTATTTGTATTTTGCACTGAACCCTCTCTGCAGTTGAGGCATTCAAACAGAGAAGTCAGGGAACCTGCTTAAGGTCACAGATCCAAAATACGTTAGATGTTGAAGTGGATTGCATGCTGCCTGCCCCCCATTCCAACTCACTTGTCGCCCCCAGCCAAGTACCCTGTGCTTTAACTAAATGATCGCTATTTCTTAAGCCCTACTAAGGCACTATTATAGTTATAGCTGTGTGACTTGCCCAAGGACATCAGTACATTTTCGGTGGAAAACTTGGGCCAGTTCTACCATCACATAGAGTGTCTGTGTTCTTTCACACCTTTTTAAATTTTAAAGAGCTTCATTTAGGGCTTGACATTTTAAATGCCCATACATATTTAAAGCATACAATTTAATTTTTTAAATGTAAGCATACATCCTGAAATCATCATCATGRTCAAGAGGATGAACTTATCTATCACCCCAAAAAGTTTCCTTCTGCCCATTTGCAATCCCCTTTCCTTGTCACAACCTACCATACCTATTCCTCAAATAACCATGGATGTGTTTTTGGTCTCTATAAATTAGTTTGCATTTTATAGAACCGCACTTAAGTGGAATCATATACTGTGGCTTGCAGGGGGAGAGGAATAAAGGGCAGTCAGGCTTTTTTATTTTGAGATTCATCCTTGTGGCTGAGTGTATCACTCTTTTTTATTACTGAGCGGTATTCCTTTGTACAAAGCTTCCATTAACTTGAGTGTACAGGACTTTGTATGGACATGTGCTTTTATTTGGATCGGTTCCTAGGAATAAAATGGCTGTGTCATGTGGTAGGTGTGTTTAACTTTCAAAGAAAATGCCAGATGATTTTCCATAGCTGTTCCATTTTACATTCCCACCAGCAGTTAATGAAAGTTCTAGATCCTCACTAAACAAAACAGATCCTCAACCTTAGACATCCTAACAAGTGTGTAGTGGTATTTCATTCTAGTTTTAATTTGCATTTATCTGTTGTCTAATGAGGCTGAGCATCCTTTCATAAATTTTTTGTCAATTTGTATTTTYGTGGTGAATTTTAATTCGAATGTTTTGCCCACTTTTTAAATTAGGTTCTTAATTTTCTTACTATTCAGTTTTAAACCTTCTTTACATAATCTGGATGTCTTTTTCAGATATGTGATTCATGAATATTTTCTTCCAATATGTGGCTTCGTCCTTTCATTTTCTTCATAATATGTTTCAAAAATAAATATTTTGGGGGCCTCATGCATGCCAGGCAGACACTCTGAACAACATCCCTAGCTCCACTACACAATCTTGATTATCACAGCTCTATGATAGGTCTTAAAACCAAGTAATCTTAATCTTCTATGTCAGAGCCACCCGTGGGATGTGTGTGGACTATATTGCACATTGCAGTCCAGGGAATAAGATAATCTGGTGTCTGGGAACTTCCAGTGGACATTTTCTCTGTGTAAGACTGCCCAGACACATTGTGAGCCCTATTCCACTCTGCCTGGTCCCACACAGCATCGGAGATGGGGTGACCTGCTACAACTATTCAGCCACACAGCCCTTCTGAGATGAGTGTGACCTGCCACGTTGCCAATCAACCTGCTGACTGCAAGACATCATGAAGCAAGACTCCGCCCTTGAAACCCCAGGCAGTGGTGGAGGCCCGTAATTCTAGTAGCTAGGGAGGCTGAGACAGGAGGATCATGACTTCAAAGCCAGCCTCARCAAAGTCAAGGCACTAAGCAACTCAGTGAGACCCTGTTTCTAAATAAAATACAAAATAGGGCTGGGGACATGGCTTAGTGGCCTAGTGCCTCTGAATTCAATCCCTGGTACCCCCTTCCCCCAAAACAAACAAACAGACAAATAAACCATATATATATCTCAGATGCTACAGTTTGGATCTTCCAAAGGCCCATGTGTTAAAGGCTTG